TTGTATCCACTAAACACTGAAATTTGTATACCTGAACACGAAAATTTTTACATGAACACTGAACATTGTTCCCCAGACATGAACATTGTATCCCATGAAACTAAACATTGTATCCCATAAAAACCAAAATTGTTACATGAACACGAACATTGTAACCCTAAAACCTGAACATTGTATACACTGAAATGAACATTGTATCCCCACTAAACACTGAAAATTTTTATACCACTGAACAGAAATTTTTACCACTGAACATGAACATTGTATCCCAGAACACTGAAATTGTATACCACTGAACACGAAACTTGAAATGAACATGAACTTTGTATCCATAAAACATGAACATTGTTCCCATTTGAAACACTAAACATTTATCCACTGAAACTGAAATTGTATCCCATAACTGAACATTTATCCACAAAATAAAAACAATGATGACAGAAATTTAAGTTCCCATTTTTTATGTGCCTTTGTCAATGATTACCCCCCTTCTTTCCGACTAACGTTCCCTTCTCCCCCGTTGGCTTTGTCTCCAGTGCAAAAACACAGTCGCTTATTACAGACCCATCTATGCCATTTAGATTTAATTAAACCGCTGAAATAAGCCAGAGAAAAGCAATATTTTTAATTTTTGTTTCCAAATATCAAAGCCCCATGTGATAAAAAAAAAAAAAAAATATGAGATTTATAAGATTCCCTTTTTGACCCTGTTGCCCATAAGATAAATAATTTCCCTTTTGGGCCATGTGAAGGTGCGAGTACGTTACGATCGGGATGGTGGACCTACAAATTTTGGGGTGTTTTCTCGCTCCAGCTCCCCCTTGACTATCCGGATCTCAGTCGACTTGTATTTAACCACCCCGTGGTTCTTTTGACGTGTTCTGACGCAACCTCGTAATTTTGTCTGTATTGAACGTGCAATTAAAAAAATCAAGAAGGTTTTTTAAGAATATGCAAAAAACCAGCTGAGGGGATTATACAGTTATAACCCGATAAAACATACACAAATCCCCCAATAGAAGAGGGAGTTACGACGCGTTTCGATCCGACTTTGGGCATTTACAAAATAATTTTTAAAATGGTCCAAGTCGGACCGAAAAAGTCGTTTAACTCCTTCTTTTATGTGGGGTTATTTGGTATGTTCCGTCCGGGATTGGCTTTTTTTTTTTTAAAACTAATCATGTTAATACATAAAATCAGGATACTGGGAAATCAGACAACACGGGTACTGGGAATCAATACATCACGGGTACTGGGAATCAAGACAACACGGTTACTGGGAATCAAGGCAACACGGGTACTGGGAATCAAGACAACACGGTTACTGGGAATCAAGACAACACGGGTACTGGGAATCAAGACAACACGGGTACTGGGAATCAAGACAACACGGTTACTGGGAATCAAGACAACACGGGTACTGGGAATCAAGACAACACGGTTACTGGGAATCAAGACAACACGGGTACTGGGAATCAAGACAACACGGGTACTGGGAATCAAGACAACACGGGTACGGGGAATCAAGACAACACGGGTACTGGGAATCAAGACAACACGGGTACTGGGAATCAAGACATCACGGGTACTGGGAATCAAGACAACACGGGTACTGGGAATCAAGATAACACGGGTACTGGGAATCAGGACAACACGGGTACTGGGAATCAAGACATCACGGGTACTGGGAATCAAGACATCACGGGTACTGGGGATCAAGACAACACGGGTACTGGGAATCAAGACAACACGGGTACTGGGAATCAGGATATCACGGGCACTGGGAATCAAGACAACACGGGTACGGGGAATCAAAACAACACTGGTACTGGGAATCAAGACATCACGGGTACTGGGAATCAAGACATCACGGGTACTGGGAATAAAGACATCATAGGTACTGGGAATCAAGACATCATGGGTACTAGGAATCAAGACATCACGGGTACTGGGAATAAAGACATAATGGGTACTGGGAATCAAGACATCACGCATACTGAGAATCAAGAAATTATGGGTACTGGGAATCAAGACATCATGGGTACCGGGAATCAACACATCAAGGGTACTGGGAATCAAGGCATCAAGGGTACTGGGAATCAAGACATCACGGGTACTGGGAATCAAGAAATCATGGGTACTGGGAATCAAGACATCATGGGTACCGGGAATCAACACATCAAGGGTACTGGGAATAAGGCATCAAGAGTACTGAGAATCAAGACATCACTGGTACTTGGAATCAAGACATCCCGAGTACCGGGAATCGAGACATCACGAGTACTGGGAATCAATACATCACGGGTACTGAGAATCAACACATCAAGGGTACTGGGAATCGAGACATCACGAGTACTGGGAATCAATGCATCACGGGTACTGGGAATCAAAACAATGTCAGTGGAACTGAGAATCAAGACAGCATCACAGGTACTGGAATAAAAATCACAGGTACTGGGAATTTAGATGTCACAGGTACTGGAATCAAAACTACAGGTACTGAGAATCAAAACAATGTCACAGGTACTGGAATCAAAACCACAGGTACTGGGAATTAAGACAACATCACAGGTACTGGAATTAAAATCACAGGTATTGGGAATCGAAACAACATCATGGATACTGGGAATCAAAACAACATCAGGAGTACTGAGAATCAAAAGAACATCAGTGGTACTGGGAATCAAAACATCACGGGTACTGGGAATCAAAACAACATCAGGGGTACTGGGAATCAAAACATCACGGGTACTGGGAATCAAAACATCACGGGTACTGGGAATCAAAACAACATCAGGGGTACTGGGAATCAAAACAACATCAGGGGTACTGGGAATCAAAACAACATAATGGTTATTGGGAATTAATGAATATTTCGATTGATTCCGCTCCGAGTCAGTGACCGAAAATATTGTAATGTATCACCGCTACACTGAGATTATAATTCACCCTAAACAACTCATGATGACACAGACTGTTATTATTAAGGAAAGTTGAAACTCAGTGAATATCTTCATTACGTTACTCACGTTCCGTTCGTTAGTCATTGTTCTGTCATCTATAGTTCTATTGTTCTATAATTTACAGAAATGCACACTGAAGTTAATGTCAAATATGTTTTAACTTTTCCTTGGGTATATGGGAATGTGAATACAGGAATTAATACAATGCTAGCATTACCATGGCATTTTTAGGAAATTCTAACATTTCTTCAGCTATAATTACATTATATTTGTAATAAAGTTGGTAGAATTACCGACAATATGTAAAGTAAAAGGACACAAGTGCAACTAATGTGACATTTATTGTGGCAACGTTTCGCTCTCCAGGAGCTTTATCAAGCCATTACAAACAATACATGGACACAGAGGGTATATAAAGGCTCAGAGTGAGGTGAATACTAGTGAGGTACCCTTCCGATGTTCACTAGTGGTAGTAGTAGTAGTAGTAGTGGTAGTGACAAAAGCAATTAATTCGTACATGAGTAAAAGGATATAAAAGCTATTACTTGGGTAACATAAAAATAGGTTGGACAAATATAAACTGGAATGAGGCAGGTTGTTTCAGTGTTCACTCTCTGTGCTTTGTGTAGTATAACAGGAGAGACTATGTGATGGCAGGGTTTACTGTTTTCAGGAGGATTCTTGCTAAGACTTCGGAGATGGTGAAGCTGCCGTTGTTTTGTTTAATTGTATTCGAAACAGCGATCAGTGCTGATTCAAGGCATTTGCGTGTGCGGAAATTAGTTTCTTTTATCACTAATTGGGCGTCTCTGAATTTCATAAGATGATTGGTGGAATTTCGGTGTTGTACACCGAAATTCTCCACGCATCAACACCGCTCCCAACAAAGTTATAATTCTTCCCAACAGCCAGGTTGCACTAAACGTCTCAAAAGTACTTTCACAAGCTAACACCAGAGTCGCCATCGCTTCTACCACTTCAATAAAGGATCTAACCAGGACAAAACCCAAGCACCACGAACCAGTCAATGCAGGAGTTTACACTATACCCTGTGGAGGCTGCGACAAGATCTACGTAGGTGAAACAGCAAGAAACCTCGACACCCGCCTCAATGAACACATATACGCATGTAGGAACGACAACTTAAACAACGCCTGTGTACAACACCGAAATTCCACCAATCATCTTATGAAATTCAGAGGACGCCCAATTAGTGATAAAAGAAACTAATTTCCGCACACGCAAATGCCTTGAATCAGCACTGATCGCTGTTTCGAATACAATTAAACAAAACAACGGCAGCTTCACCATCTCCGAAGTCTTAGCAAGAATCCTCCTGAAAACAGTAAACCCTGCCATCACATAGTCTCTCCTGTTATACTACACAAAGCACAGAGAGTGAACACTGAAACAACCTGCCTCATTCCAGTTTATATTTGTCCAACCTATTTTTATGTTACCCAAGTAATAGCTTTTATATCCTTTTACTCATGTACGAATTAATTGCTTTTGTCACTACCACTACTACTACTACTACTACTACTACCACTAGTGAACATCGGAAGGGTACCTCACTAGTATTCACCTCACTCTGAGCCTTTATATACCCTCTGTGTCCATGTATTGTTTGTAATGGCTTGATAAAGCTCCTGGAGAGCGAAACGTTGCCACAATAAATGTCACATTAGTTGCACTTGTGTCCTTTTACTTTATACATTATATTTGTTGAAAAAAATTTAATTTAGAGTAAAAGTACTAAAACTTGTATATTTTAAGTAATTTTTCGTATTTAGTTTAAAAAATTACCATAGAAACTCTGCTAGTTTTGTTTGTATTGTATTTACCGGGAAACGATAAACTCGTATGGCTTGCACAGCTCCTAGGGGATTGGGAGGTATTCAGGTTTGATCCAAGGAAGGGGAGGATAGCTCCAATTCTTTGGATTTAGAGCCCTTCATCAGTTGCGGCCGGTAGATCATAAAGTAACCACTCTGACTGGTGATTACAGTACTACCAGGGGTCAGCACAGAAGGTGGACGACCAACACTTCATCCTCATAGACGACAGTCTCTCAGGCCTGGCCGGCTCCATTATAGAGCTCAAGTTCCAAGCTCACTTTCCTGGAGCCCAGCCAGTGGTCACTGCCGCTGCTATCAATGGAGAACCCATCTGTGGTGAGTAGCACCCCTTTCACACACCGTCAGTAGCACCCCTTTCACCCGCCGTCAGTAACAACCCTTTCACTCAGCGTCAGTAGCACCCCTTTCACTCACCGTCAGTAGCACCCCTTTCACACACCGTCAGTAGCACCCCTTTCACCCGCCGTCAGTAGCACCCCTTTCACTCAGCGTCAGTAGCACCCCTTTCACTCACCGTCAGTAGTACCCCTTTCACTCACCGTCAGTAGCACCCCTTCACCCGCCGTCAGTAGCACCCCTTTCACTCACCGTCAGTAAACCCCTTTCGCTCAGCGTCAGTAGCACCCTTTCACTCACCGTCAGTAGCACCCCTTTCACACACCGTCAGTAGCACCCTTTCACCCCCGTCAGTTAGCAACCCCTTTCACCCCAGCGTCAGTCGACCCCTTTCACTCACCGTCAGTAGCACCCCTTTCACTCACCGTCAGTAGCACCCCTTTCACTCACCGTCAGTAGCACCCCTTTCACTCACCGTCAGTAGCACCCCTTTCACACACCGTCAGTAGCACCCCTTTCACCCGCCGTCAGTAGCACCCCTTTCACTCAGCGTCAGTAGCACCCCTTTCACTCACCGTCAGTAGCACCCCTTTCACTCACCGTCAGTAGCACCCCTTTCACTCACCGTCAGTAACACCCCTTTCACTCACCGTCAGTAACACCCCTTTCACTCACCGTCAGTAGCACCCCTTTCACTCACCGTCAGTAGCACCCCTTTCACTCACCGTCAGTAACCCCCCCTTTCACTCACCGTCAGTAACACCCCTTTCACCCACCGTCAGTAGCACCCCTTCACCCACCGTCAGTAGCACCCGTTCACCCACCATCAGTAGCACCCCTTATCCCACCGTCAGTAGCACCCGTTCACCCACCATCAGTAGCACCCGTTCACCCACCATCAGTAACACCCGTTCACCCACCGTCGGTAGCACCCGTTCACCCACTGTTAACAACACCTCGTCACCCATCATCTATCCTTCACCAAATGTTTATAATTTGTCGCTTGAGAGGTTACTTCAGTGCACATCCGCACCTCTTTTTTGAGAATGGCAATACCGAAATAAATGTAACAAGTCCTGAGGTGTTGAAGTGATAGTTACCTGGTGTTGTGGTGCACACAGACGGAGCCTGGACCACTGTACCTCCCCTGCAGGACCCGTGTGATCCCACCGGCATGATGCCTTACGACTATGCTCAGGTAAGTTAGCAAGAGAGTCATAAGTGGTGTAGTAAGATAGAATCTTTTATTAAGCTTGTAAAATACACGAGAGGAACTCACCCTTTATGTGGAGCTCATAAATCATAGACTACAGAATGAAAAACATTTGGAGATAAATACCATTCCACAGTCTTCTCATTCGATTCCATTGTTTTTTCCTTCCGCAAATAACCTTCCCCTCACTTGATTCTCGCTGGTTACCTGTTTCACCCGTTTTCTTCTCAAAGTGTTAGTTGTGCTGCCTGAGTGGCTCTTTTATTGAGCACCCGGGGCTTATTGTGAGAGCGGTAGCGTAGGAAAACAGGATTACGGAGGCTACAACAGGTCTTTGTCAGAACCCTCTGAGCATTGTTTCAACACAATAAAATATATTATAGTCAGTTCATATATTACGACTTTTTTCCATATAGCTAATATGCACAATATAAAATGGAGTCAAGAAAAAGTATACTATTACCATTAAAAAACATTTGTCATTATTGTGTGGAAGTCACTTCAAAAAACAATTCATATATCTGGTCGACGCAGATGTGGTGACAGTTAAGATTTCAGATATTATTAACAATGAAATGTTTTGTAATATATTGTAAAGTTTGCATGGAGGTGTTTCTGAAAGGTTGTATGTTTGTACACTAGATTTAAAACATAATGTTCCAGTGTATGACACTGTCTCTGTCCACACACCAGTGTATGACACTGTCTCTGTCCACACACCAGTGTATGACACTGTCTCTGTCCACACACACCAGTGTATGACACTGTCTCTGTCCACACACCAGTGTATGACACTGTCTCTGTCCACACACCAGTGTATGACACTGTCTCTGTCCACACACCAGTGTATGACACTGTCTCTGTCCACACACCAGTGTATGACACTGTCTCTGTCCACACAAACCCGTGTATGACACTGTCTCTGTCCACACACCAGTGTATGACACTGTCTCGTCCACACACCAGTGTATGACACTGTCTCTGTCCACACACCAGTGTAGACACTGTCTCTGTCACACACCAGTGTATGAAAACTGTCTCTGTCCACACACCAGTGTATGACACTGTCTCTGTCCACACACCAGTGTATGACACTGTCTCTGTCCACACACCAGTGTATGACACTGTCTCTGTCCACACACTTTTCATTTTATATCAGTGACTTCTCCGTTTAAACGATACTACCACATATACTTATAGCTTAGCCTTCTAGCAGTAACATATAATCTACTGACCCCTTTACCTTCTCTATAAATATATTTAACGTGACACATTTCATTACGATGGACAGTTGATCTTCTAGTTCTTGTCTGTACTCTTCTCCCTTCCTCTTGGTTCTTTTCTGAGAAGATTTTTTTTAAGCTTCTATTTTGAGAAACCAAAATTATATTCCCCGTTCTCTATATGTAATCCTTATTTAGTTAAGTTATCTACTTTATCATGCCTAGGGAGGCCTGTTTGAAACGGAATCCACAAAAGCTTAGCTGTAATTCCTTAATAATTAGTGTATATGTACGCTTGGTTTCCTACACAAGCATGATATATTCAGGTCTCAGGCTACTTAAAGCTAGTAATGAGGAAAGATTCAGTTACAGCTAAACTGTCTAAGGTCATAGTTTCCAAAAGCCTGAGAGGAATAAGTATTGCAAATAGATTAATTTATGATGTGGAAGATCAGTTATTAATTCTAATACACCTTTGTATTACACAACCATCCGGTTACTTCACGATAACAACACTTCCCGTCCTCCCCCTGTCATAGTACAAGGCAGCCATCAGCTTAGATAGTTATGTGATATTTATTTTCTGCAGGTAGTATGTTTGTTCCAGGGCGCTGAGTTTAGGAAGTAGTCAAAAGATGAGGATTTTGCGTGATGTGTTTCTTGGGAAGATAGGTGGGCATAGTGTTATCAAAAGTTGTTATCTGTCAGGTTGGCGAGAAATGCGGTTGTTTTCGAGCATGATACAGCTTATGTAGTCCAAACATTTTGATATGTGTTGCTGTTCTTGGAATTCCTCTTTATTATTTTGTCCCATGAATTATATGTTCTAATACTCTCTAGAACATTGTTTTGATCACCAGGCAGAAGCTTCAGTCCCATCATGACACTGATTTCACGTATTCTGTCAGCAACACCAGGTATACCAAATTATTTCGTGAGATTAAGTATTTTGATAGCTAAAGGACAACCAAGAATAATTCTAAGGGCTTCTCTTTGTGTTTTTCAAGTTTTTCAGTAGATCTACTGTGTTGTAGGACTAGCATGACAAACTATCAACAATCTTATAAATGCTAGACACATAATTCTTGTTAATTTTAACATTTGCACCATACTTGAAATTGACATCATATGACCCTTCACTTCTTTCCTTTTCTAACGTTCCTTCCCATAAAGTATTTGACATCTCTTGGCACTCACTAGGTCTGTCACCATTGTACACCTCTGAGCCTCACTTCTGCTACAGGTGTTGTGTATGGGAATCCTCTTCTACGAGGCTGAGAGGTCTGGCTACCTGCCTGCTGATCAGAGAATCACTTGGAGGTACGACTCTGCTCTCGGCGACGGCTCCGACGTGGGTCACGACCTCACTGGTGGATACTATGACGGTATGGGGAACAGAAAGACAGGCACACACACGAACACACACACACACACACACACACAACACACACACACACACACACACACACACACACACACACACACACACACACACACATACACACACACACACACACACACACACACACACACACACACACACACACACACACACACACACACACACACACACACACACACACACATACACACACACACACACACACACACACACACACACACACACACACACACACACACACACACACACACACACACACACACACACACATAAACACATGTCTGACATACTGCAATAGTGAGCAATAAATCTCGTGTCGAGTCGTAAACAAAAGTTCACTCGTCTGTTTCCATCAGCTGGAGACCACGTCAAGTTCGGCTTCCCCATGGCCTTCACTGCCACTATGATCGGCTGGGGGCTCATTGATTTCGCTGACGGATATAAGTCTGCAGGTGTGTACTTATTAAATTTCACGATCCTTATGCAAAACTTTCATGTTTTTATGAATGCAAAAATAATACTTAAGTCTCTTAGGTGAGGAGGATCTAGTTTCAGTTATACTGTAGTTCGATTTGAAGAGAGTCAGATTCAATACCTATATGCATTACGACACTGTACTGTTTCCATTAAATAGAAATATCAACATATATCTTCACAGAAACCTTTGGCCTTAAACTTTGCCTAGGTCCCTATACCGCCATAATTACATAAGTACATGTTACCCTTCCTAAGTCTCAGTACATACAAGTCAACTAAAATCTATAATCTTGAAGAATGTCCTTTCCCCATACTTTTTACCATTACTTAATCTCTGTGTCTTTGTCTAAATCCTTGTACTTACATTAAAATCTAAAGTTTTAACCACACAACATGCATCTGTACCTAAATCTAAATCTGATAAGCCACTCGTGGCTTCATCAGTCATTTGGATACTAATATACAGTATGTCGTCAACCTTTCACAAGTGTTCCTCTCCTCTTGATTTGCCAAATACGTTGCAGTTAATACACTAGAAAATGTGTATATGTACATGGTTAACACACACGTAAAGAACATGAGACACATAGAACTATATCTAGTGCATATAGAAATTATTTCCTTGCTCACAGGTCAGGTAGAGTACGGACAAGCAGCTCTCAAGTGGGCCACGGACTACTTCCTCAAGGCCCACACTGCCCACTGGGAGTTCTATGGGCAGGTAAAACAACAACAAATATTATTTTATTTCAGAAGTTTCTTGTCTCTTTCATGGATGAGATGTTTGTATTTTTATGAAGCCTTTCACACAGTACTCGAAACAATTCACAAATAACCCTCATTTAGAGAGGAACTTTAGACGGCGTTACAGTCAGTTGTGACTTTTCCAGTGGTCTACGACGGATCGGAACGTCGTCCTCTTCATGCCAGACATTGTTTCACTGTTGTAAAGACAGTCGAGACAGACATAAGGTTCGTCTTCTAAGCGCGGGTTATTTGTGGGTTATTCCAGCCACGATATTGTGACCATATTCCTTACCTGGAAACATTCAGTCTTTGCAAGTTCTTTGGCTGGACTAGGGGTGGCTGACACCCATTTCTTCACTTGGTCTTCAAATCTTCGGACAGTCTTAAACGTTCAAGGAATATTTCTCAAAATTATTACGAAATTCTTGAAATAATAGTCATAGAGAGTCATACATTCAGGATTTTGGTTTTATAAAACTGATCAGTTACTGAAACTTTACATGACGAGATTCTTTATGTGAAGATTTAGTCATCAGATGAAAACATCAGCAGACAGCAGCAGCAGCAACAGCAACAGCAACAACAATAACAACAACAAAAAACAAACAACAACAACAAACAACAACAACAAAAAACACAACAACACACACAACACCCCACAAACCAACACAACCAAAAGCAACAGCACACAAGGCATTTAGCTAAGAGCAGCAGGGCAGCAGGGTCACAGGTTGAGCAACGACGAAAGGGAGCACAGCACGGAGCCGCCCAGAGAACAGACCAAGGAGCGCAGCCCAACATGAAGATCGACGACACTGCCTCCAGGCAGCAGCATCAACCAACGCCAGCAGCACGCTCACACCACAGAACCAGCGGCTCCATCTCAGACCTGCAGCACGCAGCCCTCGAGCAGAGCACATTCACAAAAGCAACTTGCAGCAGCTACCAAACTTGCCAGTCAACTTAATATAAATCAAAAAATTTTGTGCAACCTCCTGGCCCTTGTTCACCCCTTTTAGTAGTTTGTTTTCTTCGGGTCCTTTAGTATAACTTGATACTATCAAAAATTAAAAAAAATTTTTCCGAATCGTCAAAATATACTTTCCAGACAAAATTACTCCAGTTGCTGCGTGACTTTATAGGGGTAGGTGAGCTACATTTTCCTGGACTGCAATTAAGCAGTCAGCATTAGCTCTCGAAAGAGATTAATCCAAAAACCAGAAGATAGGAAGGACTTTGAGGTAAAGAGCTCCAGTGAACGATAAGACTGAGTAACAGTAATGGATGGATCACCCACCAGAATAGGAAATGGTAATGGTGGAGTCCCATAAGGCTCTCAGTTGAGACTGCTAGTGTTTCTAATATATTTAAAACGATCTCCCAGAGTGGATTAATTTCTAAAATTTTCTGAGGATTATGTAAAGTTAATGAGAGGTTTAAGAGCAGGTTTGCTGGGGTTTTGTTCATTAGGAGCTAATCCCGTTTGGGTCATTCAGAAGAAGTATTGGTAGAAAATCGTTCCTTCACTATCAGACGGTGGTTCAGTCTCTTATCAGTCAGGCTGCTTGTGATAGCAGAGGAATAGATGGGTTCCAGGTAGTTTTGGCAAGGTTCAGAAGTGGTCTAGCAGAAGGCTACCGGAATTCAGTCGCAACAACTATAAGTTATACCTATTGGTAAATTAATAGGAAAGACCAGAGACAGAGTACAGTCTAGAAAGAGATAACCTGTAAATATCTGAAAACAAAAATTCTGAGGATAATCATCACATCAGAGATAACGCACGAGAGCACAACTTTACTGTCATATACAGGACTAGTAAACCTTAGTCCAGGTTTCAGGAACCTCGACAAAGAATCCCTCAGAATAATATATATGTTGAATGCTAGGTCTGTCATCGAGTAAGCAGCCCCAGTATGGAGCCCCCAAAAGCTCAAGTAACAAGAAAATGTTAGAAGGTTTGCGGTTACATTGGTCTCAGAGATGACACGGGTACTTTACGAAGAGAGCTTAAAAGAAATTAAATTAAACAGACAGAAGTACCACTCAAAATGTTGGGAGTTGACTGTGCAGTTAGAGATAACTAAATAGCGAATGCTTATAACAAGAGACTTCAGTAAAAGTTCATTATACAGGTGAGAGTAAGTAAACCTAGTACACGGTTTCAGGAGTAGGTACAATAGTTCCTGAAAGATAAAGATCGATGAAGAGATGTCGATTGTAAGATAAGGGGTAGGGCCACAAGCCGCGATTCGACCTGCGTATAAATAACTAGGCTAGGACACACGCACACCTGTGTTTTCACATTTCCTGTATAGTGAAATTTATGAATGTGTTTACCTGTTGTCTCTGGCAGGTTCCGAACTGGCTGGTGAGACCGCCGCCGCTCTCGCTGTCACCTCCATCGTCTTCAAGGTACGTAGTGAAGCACTTCTTTTAAGAAGGTCGGCACTCGTTCCTAAACTGAGCATTCAAAGATAAATGTATCGATTCAAACTATCCTCTCGTCACTTAACACTACCACAACAACTAGCCACCTCTCTCTCGCTCTCTCTCTCTCCCAGGACGTAGATGCAGCCTACTCCGCTGAGGTACTGGATGTCGCCAAGGAGCTGTACGAGTTCGCTGACGCCAAGCGAGAACATTACCACATCTCCATCCCTGACGCAGCAGGTTATTACCAGTGAGTGTCTGGTTCTCTTTCAGTTAGGTCATGCTCTTGTACTCTTGCGCTGAGAGTCAGAACACGTAATCCACTGCTACAGGCCACCAGGCTGTATCTCTATCTACCCTCTATACCCCATGGCTCCTTATCATCTCAAATGAAACATCCCTATCCATTATTTTCATTCCCCTTATTGTTTTGTATGGCACATATATTTTCTCCGGCTCTCCCTCCATTCTCTCCGGTTTTACCCTAATTTGTTTCACATCATCGGCAAACAGCGACACGAAGGAATCCCTTTTTCCTCCGTCAGATCATTTATGAACATCTCGAACAGGAAGGATTCCTGTGATGATCCTTGTGGCGTTCCACTCCTCACCCTCACTCACCTTGACACCTGTCCTTTACCTTCAAATTCTGAATTTTATTTTTCGTGTTATCTTGCATACACTTCAGCACCGAAACTTTTCACTTACCTGTTCTTTCAGTTTGTAGATTAGCCTCAATTGGGATACCAACATATTACAGATGGTATCCCGTACCGACAAGTTGATAAATATGACATATCTACCTCACTTTAGTATCTTTATTGATAACAAAGATACTCAGTTGTTGAGTATGTGTCTTACGATAACATGCTGGATATTTTTATACAGTCTTAATAAATGTAGCCTTCCCATCCTTGTCTTCCCATCCTTGCCTTCCCATCCTTGCCTTCCAATCCTTGCCTTCCCATCCTTGTCTTCCCATCATTGCCTTCCCAGCCTTGCCTTCCAATCCTTGCCTTCCCATCCTTGCCTTCCAATCCTTGCCTTCCCATTCTTGTCTTCCCATCCTTGCCTTCCCATCTTTGCCTTCCCATTCTTGTCTTCCCATCCTTGCCTTCCCATCCTTGCCTTCCCATCCTTTTCTCCCATCTTTTCTTCCATCTTTTCTTCCCATCCTTGCTCTCCCATCCTTTCCTTCCCATCCTTTCTTCCCATCCTTGCCTTCGCATCCTTGCCTTCCCATCCTTGCCTTCCCATCCTTTCTTCTCATCATTGTCTTCCCATCCTTGCCTTCCTCAATTCTTGCCTTCCCATCCTTGCCTTTCCCATCCTTTTCTTCCCATCATTGTCTTCCCATCCTTGCTTCCCATTCTTGCCTTCCCATCCTTGCCTTCCCATCCTTTTCTCTTCCCATCATTGTCTTCCCATCCTTGCCTTCCCATTCTTGCCTTCCCATCCTTGCCTTCCCATCCTTGTCTTCCCATCCTTTTCTTCCCATCCTTTTCTTCCCATCCTTGTCTTCCCATCCTTGCTTTCCCATCCTTGCCTTCCCATCCTTGCCTTCCCATCCTTTTCTTTCCATCCTTGCCTTCCCACCCTTTATCTTCCCATCCTTGCCTTCCCATCCTTGTCTTCCCATCCTTGCCTTCCCATCCTTGTCTTCCCGTCCTTGCTTTCCCATACTTGCCTTCCCATCCTTGCCTTCCCATCCTTGCCTTCCCATTCTTGTCTTCCCATCCCTGTCTTCCCATCCTTGCCTTCCCATCCTTGCCTTCCCATTCTTGCCTTCCCATCCTTTTCTTCCCATCCTTGCCTTCTTATCCTTGCTTTCCCATCCTTACCTTCCCATCCTTTTCTTCCCATCCTTGCCTTCCCATCCTTGCCTTCCAATTCTTCCTTCCCATCCTTTTCTTCCCATCCTTGTCTTCCCATCCTTGCCTTCCCATCCTTGCCTTCGCATTCTTGCCTTCCCATCCTTTTCTTCCCATCCTTGCCTTCCCATCCTTGCCTTCCCATTCTTGCCTTCCCATCGTTTTCTTCCCATCCTTGTCTTCCCATCCTTGCCTTCCCATCCTTGGCCTCCCATCCTTGTCTTCCCATTGCTTCCATCTGCTTCCCATCCTTGTCTTCCCATCCTTGCCTTCCCATCCTTACCTTCCCATCTTTGCCTTCCCATCCTTTTCTTCCCATCCTTGCTTTCCCATACTTCTCTTCCCATCCTTGTCTTCCCATCCTTGCCTTTCCATCCTTGTCTTCCCATCCTTGTCTTCACATCCTTGCTTTCCCATCCTTGCCTTCCCATCCTTGTCTTCCCATCCTTGTCTTCCCATCCTTGTCTTCCCATCCTTGCTTCCCATCCTTGTCTTCCCATTCTTGTCTTCCCATTCTTGTCTTCCCTTTCTTGTCTTCCCATCCTTGTCTTCCCATTCTTGTCTTCCCATTCTTGTCTTCCCATTCTTGTCTTCCCATTCTTGTCTTCCCATTCTTTGTCTTCCCATTCTTGTCTTCCCATCCTTGTCTTCCCATTCCTTGTCTTCCCATTCTTGTTTTCCCCATTCTTGTCTTCCCATTCTTGTCTTCCCATCCTTGTCTTCCCATTCTTGTCTTCCCATTCTTGTCTTCCCATTCTTGTCTTCCCATCCTTGTCTTCCCATACTTGTCTTCCCATCTTGCTTCCCATTCTTGTCTTCCCATTCTTGTCTTCCCATCCTTGTCTTCCCATTCTTGTCTTCCCATTCTTGTCTTCCCATACTTGTCTTCCCATACTTGTCTTCCCATTCTTGTCTTCCCATTCTTGTCTTCCCATCCTTGTCTTCCCATTCTTGTCTTCCCATCCTTGTCTTCCCATTCTTGTCTTCCCATACTTGTCTTCCCCATCCTTGTCTTCCCATCTTGTCTTCCCATTCTTGTCTTCCCATCCTTGTCTTCCCATTCTTGTCTTCCCATTCTTGTCTTCCCATTCTTGTCTTCCCATCCTTGTCTTCCCATTCTTGTCTTCCCATTCTTGTCTTCCCATTCTTGTCTTCCCATTCTTGTCTTCCCATTCTTGTCTTCCCATTCTTGTCTTCCCATTCTTGTCTTCCCATTCTTGTCTTCCCATTCTTGTCTTCCCATCCTTGTCTTCCCATACTTGTCTTCCCATACTTGTCTTCCCATACTTGTCTTCCCTTCTTTATTTCAGTTATTTATTTTACCGTTATTCACCTCTGCAATATGAACCTCGGTAACTGATACCGAGAGGAAAATTTAATGAGACACGTTAGCAAACACTATTAGGAAACGTTTCGATCGTGGGAACTTGATAACTGGTAACCAGATTAAGATCTTAGGACCAAAACGTTCTCTAATAAATATATATTTGGTCAAGTATCTTTTTTTTAATCCATAAGTTCAAGAAATTCACAAGACAATATTTTCAATCCCTGAATCCACGGTTCTTGTCTCAGTATATATGTTTGTTGGCTTAGCAATCAGTGTTTTCCCTCTATTTGCGTTTTTTTTATTTCGTGTGGAATCACTATTGCAGTTTTTTAAATGAGGAGCCGTTGTTCAATTTCTCTTGATTTGTTAATTCTCGCTATGGAGTCAAGGTTTCTCTGCTGCCTCTCTCGAGACCCAAGGTGATATCAAGGCCGGTCTCAATGTTTTTCTTGGGAATTAGGTTTAATCCAGAGAAAAGGAGGGTTGCTTCACAGACATCGAGGCACCATCCTGGAAGAGTTATTCTTGTATAGTCGTTCCGAGGCACCATCCTGGAAGGGTTACTCTTGTATAGTCGTTCCGAGGCACCATCCTGGAAGGGTTACTCTTGTGTAGTCGCTCCTGTTATATATGTTGGTTTATTTTGTTTATTTCAACCCATTCTGGTTCGTGAAGGAAAGAGACACTTTTATTGAGACAACGTTGTGCTCTGTGTAGAGCTTTACCAGGTCTTTATTTGAAAAAGCTTTACAGAGAGCGTAGTGTTTTCGCTTAAAAATGTGTTCTGTAAGCTGTGTCTTTTCTACGATATTGGAGACAGTACGACATTGGTATCCTCTTCTGTATATTTTATGTGTTCTCTTACTTATAGTCTTTGCTTGTCTTGATCTTTATAAATTACGAGAACTGTTTTGCGGTCAGTTTACTGCTTAGATTAACGATGGTGTAGACTCAAAGGCAGTAAGAAAGACACTGCAAAGAAGTCTTTATTACTGCGTTACGTCCAGGACTGGTCTTTATAAGCAATACTTATCAGGTATACTTGATAAAGTCCAGCCCTAGGCGAAATGTTCAGGAATCTTACAGTTTCCTTCTTTCTGATATAAACCTGTCTTCTTGAAGAATCTCATACACGGTCATAACGTCCAGTTTATCTTTCTTCAACTGAACTCCGAGAAATCTTCTCATCCCTGGTAAATAATGTATTGCGATGTAGCTGCCGTGTCTCTGCTAGCAGTGAGTGACTGAATGGTGAGATTACCAGTAAGTGAGAAGCACACATCACAATTAAGATGACAGCCATCACTCAGCTGCTGCCCTTTTTCTTTAATAGCAAAACTTTCGATATAACGGACTAACAGAGAGGATTTTCCAAGTGTCGGGTAAATCAAAATATTAAAAAAAAATCGCAGACAATGAACTAAAGTATGTCTAATATACTGCTGTACTCGTAACTTACAGATACTTCAATGAAAATTGAAGTTAAATTAATTAAAGTTCAATATATGAAGTGAATTTTATTTCAGAATTCAGTTATGACTGAAACAATACACAAATAACCTGAACACGGGAGACTGAAACTCTTCACAACGTTTCTTTCCTTCGCCCTTCTCTGTGTCTAGCTCATGGTTCACGTTGTACCTAAACGTCGCTATAAGTTTCAGTCTCCTATGTGCGGTTATTTATATGTAATAAGATCCGTTGTATCGAGATTTTACTGGTGCTCTTAGTACCTTAGCCAGCTGTCAGAACTACCACACCCATTACAAAAATCATGACTACCTCCACACCAGCCAGTCCCAGCTACCTAATCTCAGTGTGTGGTACCGCGTGCAGGTCGTGGAGTGGGTACTACGACGAGCTGTTGTGGGCAGCTCTATGGCTCTACCGAGCCACAGATGACGCCACGTACCTGGACAGGCTCGCGGTCATTACGCTGAGATCCCTGTCACACCAAACAACCGCCTCGAGCAGTTCTCCTGGGACGACAAGAGGGCCGGTGCCTTCGTAAGTATCTCTTTCATGGGTCACACACTCGCTGTCCTCCCTAATGTGAGGTATATATGTTGGTGAGGACTCCAAGCATTCATCTCAGTATGTATGATATTCATTTTAGATTACTTCTCTCATCAAAATTTAAAAAATACGTGTCAACACCATTGAATTATATATATATATATATATATATATATATATATATATATATATATATATATATATATATATATATATATATATATATATATAGCATATACATACATACATATATATATATATATATATATATATATAATATATATATATATATATATATATATATAAAATATATATATATATATGTACCCACGAAACGAGTGGTATTGATCAATAACAACACTGCACTAGCCAAGGAGTCGAACCCATGCTGCTTTGGCCCGCCTGATGGTGAGCGAAAATGCATGACGCTTTAGACCACTAGACCTAGTCTAGTCTTGTGGTCTAGTGATCTAAAGCGTCATGTGTTCTTGCTCACCATGAGGCTGGCCAAAGCAGCATGGGATCGACTCCTAGGCTAGTGCAGTACTGTCATTATTATACACATATATACCAGTAAACTTATCAAAAATTTATTTAGCTGGATTAGGCTAAATTAAATTGTGCTTGTTATAATAAGGTTAGATAGGTTTCCTCAGGTTCCTTTCGTACAAAATTATTAATTTTTACATTAACATAAATTAAAACATATATTTAAACGTATAAGAGAATTTTTTAAAAAGGACTTAATTTTAAATGAGTTTTTGCTAACTGACCAGTCTTACCTATTCGGCACAACTAAATTTATTTTGGATAAGTTTACAATAATTTAATAATAAACAAACACAATGAAATATATTTTTTCGTTAGGTTCAGAATGATTTTTGCGAAATTATTGCATACACAAATTTTCTGCAAGAGGATCAGAAGTTTTACCTAATCGGCACCACACACACACACAAACACACACACACAAAACACACACACACAAACACACACACACACAAAACACACACACACACAAACACACAACAAAACACACACACACACAACACACACACACACACACACACACACACACACACACAACACACACACAACCACACACAACACACACCACACACAAACACACACACACACAAACACACAAACACACACACACACACACACACACACACACACACACACACACAAACACACACACACAAACACACACACACACACACCACACACACACACACACAAACACACACAACACACACACACACACACACACAAACACACAAACACACACACACAACACACACACACACACACACACACACAAACACACACACACACAAACACACACACAAACACACACACAACACACACACACACACACACACAACAACACACACAAACACACACAAACACAACACACACACAAACACACAACACACACACACACACACACACACACACACACACACACAAACACACACACACACACACACACACACACACACACACACACATACAAGGGAAAAAAAGCAATTGAAAGCATCATAAAAGCAATAGGAGAAGACATGACCCAGCTGGAAAATTTTCGGAGAATAAGGGGGTTTGTAAAAAGAAGAACCCGGCAAGTGAAAGTGACCTTCAAGGCAGAATCGACTCGGAACAGGATCCTGCAGGAGAAAGCATGATTAAGGAACATGACGGCATACAGGAAGATGTATCTCGACCAAGACAGAACACAAGAAGAAAGGCAGAATCTGAGAGAGATGGTACAAAGGCGAAAGGAGGAAAGTGAGGGGATGGAGGAGACAGACAGGAGATCCCAGACCCAGGAAGAAGATCAAATATAGTCTCCCTCACAACTTCCTATAGAAGCCCCCAACCAGGTCAACCCCAGTGCAACCAAACACTCTAAACCAAAACACCCATGCCATATCCAATGCCCCCACCCACTGCATTACAAACTCCACCCCCACAGCAACCACCCATAGTTCCTTATCAGGTCTCATACTTCCCCAGCCCCAATATACCTCCCAGACCACAGTCTTAGAAAAGAAGTTGAAGGTGTGGTATACATATGCAGATGGAATAACAAATAAGTATGAGGAGTGGCATGAAAGAATCAAGGAGACATCCCCAGACATAATAGCACTCACAGAAACAAAACTCGCCAGAATAATAACAGATTCAATCTTTCCATCCGGATATCAAATCCTCAGGAAAGACAGAGGGAGGAGAGGGGGAGGAGGAGTTGCACTGCTCATTAAAAACCAGTGGGGGTTTGAGAAAATGGAAGGAATGGATGGCACGGGCGAAAGGGACTACTTAGTAGGAACAATCCAGTCTGAGGGACATAAAGTGATAATTGCAGTAATGTACAACCCACCACAGAACTGCAGGAGGCCAAGAGAAGAATACAACGAGAGCAACAGAGCAATGGTCGACACACTAGCCGAGGTGGCCAGGAGAGCACACATGGTGGGAGCAAAGTTACTAGTTATGGGTGATTTCAATCACAAGGAGATTGACTGGGAAAACTGGAGCCCCATGGGGGTCCCGAAACATGGAGAGCCAAGATGATGGATGTGGTACTGGAAAATCTCATGCATCAACATGTTAGAAACACTACCAGAGAGAGAGAGGAGAGGATGAACCAGCAAGACTGGACCTTGTATTCACCTTGAGTAGTTTTGACATCGAGGTTATCATGAATGAAAGGCCCCTGGGAGCTAGTGATCATGTGCTTCAACTACATAGTTGAGCTTCAAGTAGAGAGAGTAGCAGGAATAGTTTGGGAAAAACCAAACTACAAAAGGGGGAATTACTCAGGCATGAGGAACTTCCTGCAAGACATTCAGTGGGAAAGGGAACTGTCAGGAAAACCAGTACAAGAAATGATGGGCTATGTGGCAACAAAATGCAAGGAGGCAGAGGAGAGGTTTGCTCCCAAGGGAAACAGAAATAATGGGAAGAACAGAACGAGTCCTTGGTTCACCCAAAGGTGTAGGGAGGCAAAAACTAGGTGTACTAGAGAATGGAAAAGGTACAGAAGACAGAGAACTCAGGAAAATAAAGAGATTAGCTGAAGAGCCAGAAACGAATATGCACAGATAAGAAGGGAGGCTCAGCGACAATATGAAAATGACATAGCATCGAAAGTCAAATCTGACCCGAAGCTGTTGTATAGCCACATCAGGAGGAAAACAACAGTCAAGGACCAGGTAATCAGACTAAGGAAGGTTAATGGGGAGTTCACAAGAAACGACCGAGAGGTATGTCAGGAGCTCAACACGAGATTTAAAGAAGTATTTACAGTGGAAACCAGTAGGACTCCAGGAAATCAGAACAGAGGGGTACACCAGCAAGTGCTGGATGAGGTATATATAACCAAGGAGGAGGTGAAGAAGCTGCTATGCGAACTTGACACCTCAAAGGCGGTGGGACCAGACAACTTCTCTCCGTGGGTCCTTAAAGAGGGAGCAGAGATACTGAGTGTGCCATTAACAAAGATCTTCAACACATCAATTGAAACTGTGCAACTCCCCGAGGTATGGAAGATGGCAAATGTAGTCCCAATTTTTAAAAAGGGAGACAGACATGAGGCACTAAACTACAGACCTGTATCACTAACGTGTATAATATGCAAAGTCATGGAGAAGATCATCAGGAGGAGAGTGGTGGAGAACCTGGAAAGAAACAAGTGTATAATTGACAATTAGCACGGTTTCAGGGAAGGAAAATCCTGTGTCACAAACCTACTAAAGTTTTATGACAAGGTGACAGAAGTAAGACAAGAGAGAGAAGGGTGGATCGACTGCATTTTTTTGGACTGCAAGAAGGCCTTCGACACAGTTCCTCACAAGAGATTACTGCAAAAGCTAGAGGATCAGGCACACATAACAGGAAAGGCACTGCAATGGATCAGAGAATAACTGACAGTGAGGCAACAACGAGTCATGGTACGTGACGAGGTGTCAAAGTGGGCGCCTGTGACAAGCCGGGTTCCACAGGGGTCAGTCCTTGGACCTGTGCTGTTCTTGGTATATGTGAATGACATAACGGAAGGGATAGACTCAGAAGTGTCCTTGTTTGCAGATGATGTGAAGTTAATGAGAAGAATCAAATCGGATGAGGATCAGGCGCTGTATAGCCCTTGTGGCTTAGCGCTTCTTTTTGATTATAATAATAATAATGAGGATCAGGCAGGACTACAAAGAGACCTGGACAGGCTACAAGCCTGGCCCAGCAACTGGCTCCTTGAGTTTAACCCTGCCAAATGCAAAATCATGAAGATTGGGGAAGGGCAAAGAAGACCGCAGACACAATATAGTTTAGATGGCCAAAGACTGCAAACCTCACTCAAGGAAAAAGATCTGGAAGTGAGTATAACACCGAGGATATTTCCTGAGGCGCACATCAATCAGACAACTGCTGCAGCATACGGGCGCCTGGCAAACCTACGGATAGCGTTCCTATACCTCAGTAAGGATTCGTTCAAGACTCTGTATACCATTTACGTCAGACCCATACTGGAGTATGCAGCACCAGTTTGGAATCCACACCTAGTCAAGCACGTCAAGAAATTAGAGAAAGTGCAAAGGTCTGCGACAAGAGTAGTCCCAGAGCTAAGGGGATTGTCCTACGAAAAAGGTTGAGGGAAATCGGCCTGACGACACTGGAGGACAGGAGGGTCAGGGAAGACATGATAACGACATATAAAATACTGCGCGGAATAGACAAGGTGGACAAAGACGGGATGTTCCAGAGAAGGGACACAGACACAAGAGGTCACAATTGGAAGTTGAAGATTCAGATGAATCAAAGGGATGTTAGGAAGTATTTCTTCAGTCATAGAGTAGTCAGGCCGTGGAATAGCCTAGAAAGTGACGTAGTGGAGGCGGGAACCATACATAGTTTTGAGGCGAGGTATGATAAAGCTCATGGGGCAGGGAGAAAGAGGACCTAGTAGCAATCAGCGAAGAGGCGGGGCCAGGAGCTATGAATCGACCCCTGCAACCACAAATAGGTGAGTACAAATAGATGAGTACACACACACACACACACACACACACACACACACACACACACACACACACACACACACACACACACAGACACAGACACACACACACACACACACACACACACACACACACACACATACACACACACTACTTCCATGGACCGGTTCCAGACGAGTCCTTTTAGCTCACTGTCTGATCAATAAAGCTGTTGGTACTACCTGCACGCAGTTCAGCACACTTCTTGACCAGCCGGCCGATCAAACACCAACTTGAGGAATTTACGAAGTTCTCTCTTGAAAACAGCTGCGGGGATCTGTTGGTAATACCTCTTGTGTAGGAAGGGAGGGTGTTCACAGAGGAAAGGAGACAATACCTCCAAAATCTTTGGAACAAGAGCCCTCCACCACCATCAAGACACCCACCTCAGGGAACTCTCTCTTTCACTTTATGTTATATTTTTAATTGAAAGGTATTATGTCGAACCTTAGGACCTTAAGTATTATTATTATTATTATTATTATTATTATTATTATTATTATTATTATTATTATTATTATTATTATTATCATTATTATTATATGCTCAGAGCTCTACAAAGAGCGAAACGTTGTCCCAATACAAGCTCTACACTGGCAAACATAGTCCCGGTAAAAACTCAATACATAACCAAAATTGTCACAACAGAAGCTCCACTCAGAAAGGAACGTGGTCCCATAAATTCTCTAGACATACATAAATGATGCCCCCAATAAAAGCTGTATACACAGTTAAACACCTTCCAAATATAAGTTGAACATTTAGCCAAACATTGTCACAGTAAAAACTTTATACAGCCAGAAGTTATCCCACTACGCAGCCAAATATTTTCCCGATAAAAGCTATACACAACCAGACGTTGTCTAAGTAGAAGTTTCGGCTTCAGTTTGTGTCTGTTTTCAACAGCCTCATTAATTTTAATGCTATCAAGTGGTCGTTAAGGCTGCTTATCACCTGTTCACCACCTCTGTACATACACTGAGAGACACACACCTCTGTAAATACACTGAGAGACATACAGCAGCGTCTGGTCTGACACTGTCTGATAGTCTGCTTATATACCCTTGGAAGCTATTTTAAGTTATGTATTATTGTTTTATGTATGCGGTGATACATGTAAAATGTATTTTTGAACAATTAAATTATTTTTACATTGCGATCACTTGAATTACATTTGCTGTCGTGTTTTGAACGTGTGTTCTAGGCGCTTTGTGGCTGTGTTGACAGGTATTTTTTCATTAGTTTCTGGCAAACGTGTTTCATTTATCATTTTTCCGTTTCTAAGGGAAACGTATTAAGTTGCCAAAAATGTAGTATAAAAGTGCTTTAGATGACTGATAAAGATTTCTTTCCTGGTAGAGCTTGGGAACACTGCTGGACCCGGAGTTCACATCGTACGCCACAGACATCCAGACTTTCCTCGACTGGGTGAAACACGAGGCGCCCTACACCCCAGGTGGTCTTGTTTACCTCGACACCTGGGGACCAAATCGTCACGCAGCTAACGTGGCCTTCCTTATGTTCTGGGTAATAAGACTGAATTCTTGCATTCCTCGTGTTCAGGGTAACGAGAATAGTTATTTGCATTCCTCATGTTAAGGGTTACCGGGGTAAATTATTGCATTCCTCATGTTCAGAGTAACAAGATTAGGTTCTTGCATTCTTCGTGTTCTGGGCAACTAGAGTATACCTTCAGAATTAAGCTACTGAGTATAGTCACATTCAAGATCAGCCACAGATAAAAATGCAAGCATAGGTACAGATGTATGTATTGGCACAAGTAAATGTGTGGTTACAGGTGCAAATATAATTGCGGGTTAGAAGTGCATGTGTAAGAGCATTTACCGATACATGTGAAATTAAAAGTCAAGCGATTGCAATAGATAGATACAAATACTGGCACAGTAATTAACATTTGGCAGAAATATGGAGCCTGATCACGTTTTGCAATATATATATATATATATATATATATATATATATATATATATATATATATATATATATATATATATATATATATATATATATATATATTATATACATATTAAACTGAATGGTAATATAAAAAATATTAGCTTATCTATGACGAGGGAAATATTGTGGTACATTTAAACCAGGGGAAGAATATTGCTAACTCATTGACTAACTAATTCACTCACTCAGTCGGTCTGTTAATGCTTACGTTATCTTCCTTCAGAACGCAAACCAGGGTCTGGACGCTGCGGAGAACCGCCAGTGGGCCCAGGGACAGATTGGCTACATCTTGGGAGACACTGGCCGCTCCTTCGTGATCGGCTACGGTCAGAATTACCCCAAGAGGCCTCACCACCGCTCCAGGTAAACATGCTTGTAAATACTTTTATAGTGCGGAAGCTGAGGAGTACCACACAGTAGAAGCAAAACAAATTATAAATGTAACTAAAGTCATTTCAGTTCAGAGGCACTCCAAAGAACTGGGTCTCAAAAAAAAAAAAAAAAAAGGAACTAGATATTAAATGACTCAGTTAATCTCTCTCTCTCTCTTTCTGACACAGACACAGACACACACACACACACACACACACTCTACCTCCCCCCCCCCACACTCTGACATGCACAATACTAACCTAACATACAGAATTACATAGGTTTCCCACTCTGAGGCAATCAGGATAAAACAAAAATGGGTTGCCAGAGAGCAACAAGAAAAACCAAGGGACAGGAGGAGGAAACTGCAAATGAAGATTGGGCAGCAGACCTCACAAAAAGGGAACATGAATGGGAAAAGAAACTAGAAGAACTTAGCATGAGAATGGAAGAGAGGATAGACATGGAAAGCAGGAAGTGGGAGGTGCAAGTCAAAGCAGCAGAGGCCAGGATACAGAGTTTAGAAGAGGAACTGAAAAATCTGAAACAGCCTAAAGAACTAAAGACCATTTTGGGATTGACAACAGAGACTGCTACCTCAGTCACAAATAAGGGGACTGTAGGGAAAGAAAGAGGAAAACTGCATGTAGAAGCTCAATCAGTGGAGACTGTAGTAAATGAAAAAGCTAAGCTATATGTGGAGGCCCAAACAGACCACAGCAGAGCCCAGGGAAAGCCGAGAAGGGAAAATGACAGGCCATTGAGCCCAAGTACATTAGCTAGTGAAACTGAAGAAAGGAAAGCTGAAATGGATGAAATCAAATTGAATGAGGGGATACACAGGGATATGCAGTGGGAGAATGAAAGGGTGAGGTCAATCTTTGTGTATGGGCTCCAGGAAGTTGAAGGGGAAACATATGAAGCAAGAAAACAAGGGGAAAAAAAGTAATTGAAAGCATCATGAAAGCAATAGGAGAAGACGACATGACCCAGCTGGAAAATTTTCAGAGAATAGGGGGGTTTGTAAAAAAAAGAACCCGGCCAGTGAAAGTGACCTTCAAGGCAGAATCGACTCGGAACAGGATCCTGCAGGAGAAAGCATGATTAAGGGGCATGCCGGCATACAGGAAGGTGTATCTCGACTGCGACAGAACACAAGCAGAAAGGCAGAAACTGAGGGAGATGGTACAAAGGTGAAAGGAGGAAAGAGAGGGGATGGAGAAGACAGATAGGAGATCCCAGACACAGGAAGATCAAATACAGCCTCCCTCACAACTTCCTATAGAAGCCTCCCAACCAGGTCAACCCCAGTGCAACCAAACACTCTAAACCAAAACTCCCATGCCATATCCAATGCCCCCACCCACTGCATTACAAACTCCACCCCCACAGCAACCACCCATAGTTCCTTATCAGGTCACCCACTTCCCCAACCCCAATACAACTCCCAGACCACAATCTTAGAAAAGAAGTTGAAGGTGTGGTATACAAATGCAGATGGAATAACAAATAAGTATGGGGAGTGGCACGAAAGAATCAAGGAGACATCCCCAGACATAATAGCACTCACAGAAACAAAACTCACCAGAACAATAACAGATTCAATCTTTCCATCCGGATATCAAATCCTCAGGAAAGACAGATTGAGGAGAGGGGGAGGAGGAGTTGCACTGCTCATTAAAAACCAGTGGGGGGTTGAGAAAATGGAAGGAATGGATGGCACGAGCGAAGGGGACTACTTAGTAGGAACAATCCAGTCTGAGGGACAAAAGGTGATAATTGCAGTAATGTACAGCCCACCACAGAACTGCAGGAGGCCAAGAGAAGAATACGATGAGAGCAACAGAGCAATGGTCGACATACTAGCCGAGGTGGCCAGGAGAGCACACATGGGGGGAGCAAAGTTACTAGTTATGGGTGATTTCAATCACAAGGAGATTGACTGGGAAAACCTGGAGCCCCATGGGGGTCCCGAAGCATGGAGAGCCAAGATGATGGATGTGGTACTGGAAAACCTCATGCATCAACATGTTAGAGACACTACCAGAGAGAGAGAGGAGAGGATGAACCAGCAAGACTGGACCTTGTATTCACCTTGAGTAGTTTGGACATCGAGAATATCATGTGTGAAAGGCCCCTGGGAGCTAGTGATCATGTGGTTCTGTGCTTCGACTACATAGTTGAGCTCCAAGTGGAGAGAGCAGCAGGAATAGGTTGGGAAAAACCAAACTACAAAAGGGGGAACTACTCAGGCTTGAGGAACTTCTTTCAAGACATTCAGTGGGAGGGGGGACTGACAGGAAAACCAGTACAAGAAATGATGGACTATGTCGCAACAAAATGCAAGGAGGCAGAGGAGAGGTTTGCTCCCAAGGGAAACAGAAATAATGGGAAGAACAGAACGAGTCCTTGGTTCACCCAAAGGTGTAGGGAGGCAAAAACTAGGTGTACTAGAGAATGGAAAAGATACAGAAGACAGAGAACTCAGGAAAATAAAGAGATTAGCTGAAGAGCCAGAAACGAATATGCACAGATAAGAAGGGAGGATCAACGGCAATACGAAAATTATATAGCATCGAAAGTCAAGACTGACCCGAAGCTGTTGTACAGCCACATCAGGAGGAAAACAACAGTCAAGGACCAGGTAATCAGAATGAGGAAGGGTGATGGGGAATTCACAAGAAACGACCGGGAGGTATGTCAGGAGCTCAACACGAAATTTAAAGAAGTATTTACAGTGGAAACCAGTAGGAGTCCAGGAAATCAGAGCAGGGGGGTGCACCAGCAAGTGCTGGATGAGGTACATATAACCAAGGAGGAGGTGAAGAAGCTGCTATGCGAACTTGACACCTCAAAGGCGGTGGGACCAGACAACATCTCTCCGTGGGTCCTTAAAGAGGGAGCAGAGATATTGTGTGTACCATTAACAAAGATCTTCAACACATCATTTGAAACTGGGCAACTCCCCGAGGTATGGAAGATGGCAAATGTAGTCCCAATTTTTGAAAAGGGAGACAGACATGAGGCACTAAACTACAGACCTGTATCACTAACGTGTATAGTATGCAAGGTCATGGAGAAGATCATCAGGAGGAGAGTGGTGGAACACCTTGAAAGAAACAAGTGTATAATTGACAACCAGCATGGTTTCAGGGAGGGAAAATCCTGTCACAAACCTACTAGAGTTTTATGACAAGGTGACAGAAGTAAGACAAGAGAGAAAGGGGTGGATCGACTGCATTTTTTTGGACTGCAAGAAGGCCTTCGACACAGTTCCTCAAAGGAGGTTACTGCAAAAGCTAGAGGATCAGGCACACATAGCAGGAAAGGCACTGCAATGGATCAGAGAATAACTGACAGGGAGGCAACAACGAGTCATTGTACGTGACGAGGTGTCAGAGTGGGCGCCTGTGACAAGCGGGGTTCCACAGGGGTCAGTCCTAGGACCTGTGCTGTTCTTGGTATATGTGAATGACATAACGGAAGGGATAGACTCAGAAGTGTCCTTGTTTGCGGATGATGTGAAGTTAATGAGAAGAATCAAATCGGATGAGGATCAGGCAGGACTACAAAGAGACCTGGACAGGCTACAAGCCTTGTCCAGCAACTGGCTCCTTGAGTTTAACCCTGCCAAATGCAAAGTCATGAAGATTGGGGAAGGGCAAAGAAGACCGCAGACACAATATAGTTTAGATGGCCAAAGTCTGCAAACCTCACTCAAGGAAAAATATCTGGGGGTGAGTATAACACCGAGCATATCTCCTGAGGCGCACATCAATCAGATAACTGCGCAGCATATGGGCGCCTGGCAAACCTACGGATAGCGTTCCGATACCTCAGTAAGGATTTGTTCAAGATTCTGTATACCATTTACGTCAGGCCCGTACTGGTGCTGCGCACCAGGTTGGAATCCACACCTAGTCAAGCACGTCAAGAAATTAGAGAAAGTGCAAAGGTTTGCAACAAGACTAGTCCCAGAGCTAAGGGGATTGTTCTACGAAGAAAGGTTGAGGGAAATCGGCCTGACGACACTGGAGGCCAGGAGGGTCAGGGGAGACATGATAACGACATATAAAATACTGCGCGGAATAGACGAGGTGGACAAAGACGGGATGTTCCAGAGATGGGACACAGACACAAGAGGTCACAATTGGAAGTTGAAGACTCAGATGAGTCAAAGGGATGTTAGGAAGTATTTCTTCAGTCACAGAGTAGTCAAGCCGTGGAATAGCCTAGAAAGTGAAGTAGTGGAGGCGGGAACAATACATAATTTTAAGGCGAGGTATGATAAAGCTCATGGGGCAGGGAGAGAGAGGACCTAGTAGCAATCAGTGAAGAGGTGGGGCCAGGAGCTATGAATCGACCCCTGCAACCACAAATAGGTGAGTACACGCGCGCACACACACACACACACACACACACACACACACACACACACACACACACACACACACACGCACACGCACACACACGAGGACCAGGCAGAACTACAAAGGGATCTGGACAGCCTGCAGACCTGGTCCAGCAACTGACTCCTGGAGTTCAACCCCACCAAGTGCAAAGTCATAAAGATTGGGGAAGGGCAAAGAAGACCGCAGACGGAGTACAGTCTAGGGTACCAGAGCCTACAAACCTCACTCAAGAAAAATGATCTTGGGGTGAGTATAACACCAGGCACATCTCCTGAAGCGCACATCAACCAAATAACAGCTGCAGCATATGGGTGCCTGGCAAACCTCAGAACAGCATTCCGACATCTTAATAAGGAATCGTTCAGGGCCCTGTACACCATGTACGTTAGGCTGATATTGGAGTATGCGGCACCAGTTTGGAACCCACACCTAGCCAAGCACGCAAGGAAACTAGAGAAAGTGCAAAGGTTTGCAACAAGACTAGTCCCGGAGCTAAGGGGCATGTTAAGGGAAATCGGCCTGACGACACTGGAGGACAGGAGAGATAGGAGTGAAGTGATAACTATATATAAAATACTGAGAGGAATCGACAAGGTGGACAGAGATAGGATGTTCCAGAGATTGGACACAGCAACAAGGGTTCACAGTTCGAACCTGATGACTCAGATGAGTCACAGGGATGTTAGGAAGTATTTCTTTAGTCACAGAGTTGTCAGGAAGTGGAATAGTCTGGGAAGTGATGTAGTGAAGGCAGGATCCATACATAGCTTTAAGAAGAGGTATGAGTAAGCTCATGGAGCAGGAAGAGTGACCTAGTAGCGACCAGTGAAGAGACGGGGCCAGGAGGTGTGAGTCGACCCTTGCAACCACAAGTAGGTGAGTTCAGTTAGGTGAGCACATACACACACACACACCTCACACACTGATCGCGGTGTGTGAAGCACTGAGCGCAGAGAGACTCTCTGTGAGGACTGCTAGGCTAGATTCTCAGCTCATCTAGAAGCACATAGATTTAACTTCCTACATCTCAAACACCATGACACTCCTACCTTAAACTTACCTCCTTGCCAAAACTCCCACCTTCATTGCTGACTCTCTCTCTCTCTCTCTCTCTCTCTCTGACTTTTTTTTTTTTACAAAAGTTAACCTATTGTACCAACATTAAAAACATTAACTTCGCACCAGTACAAACTTCTGACTGTACTGATCCCTGCCACTACACATCCTCGCACCTTGGCACAGTTCCACCCAAACGGGTTTAGTATTTTTCGGTATAAAAATATAATCCATATTCTGTTTTTATAGAAACGAAACCATTTTTATTTATAATTTATTGCCTTCAGTTTTAATTCATTATTTTCGCTCTAGCGAAAGTAAAGTGAGATAAAGACTTTGCTTCCACCCAAGAAAATCTGTAACAGCATCTGTAAGAATGTCTCGGTTGTGTTGTATTAATAATGTCTTCTTTTGCGTACTTCTCAGTTCGTGTCCATCACTGCCGGGTACCTGTCATGACGGGTGGGCTGAGAAACAGGATGGACCTAACCCCCAGACCCTCTATGGTGCCCTCGTCGGTGGTCCTGGCGCGGTAAGGCTTCCCTTTCTTCTACCGAATCTTACAAATATTTCTCTGGAGTATTACCTGGAGTTTACCTGGAGAGAGTTCCGGGGGTCAACGCCCCCGCGGCCCAGTCTGTGACCAGGCCTCCTGGTGGATCAGAACCTGATCAACCAGGAAAGATTGAGTCACAGACACACAGGAAGTGTCAGGTTGCAACTGGCGTATATACACGTTATATGAAATGTTAGTCTAAATCTCGTTTACCGACTGCTGTCACTTATCTGTTTTTACTTCCCTCCAGAATGACGAATACACTGATGATCGCATGGACTACGTCCACAATGAGGTCGCCTGCGACTACAACGCAGCCTTCGTCGGGGCTCTTGCAGCCTTGGTCGAGCTCAACTAAGAATACCGGCAGGAAGGAATGATGAATGAAGAGAAGCTCTTTTCAAATTAATTTTCTTTTGTTTTCCAAGGGGATCTTTGTCAACCACATGCCAGTACTCCACTACAAGTATGTCAGCTTGTCAGAGGTCCTCCACGATTTCCTGAATAAAGTGAAAAGTAAATCCATCTCTTACTGTTTTTTCAGTCTTTTAATTAGCTTCTAGTGTTAATAACCAAAGTGTAATGAACACTTACCAAATAACTCAGGAGATTGATTGATATGTATATTTCGAGCTCCTTCTGGGATCGTCTTCAGATGAAGAGGATCAAATGAGTTTCTTTAAAGAAACACAAATACAAATATTTTTCTTAGAGGTTTGAAGAGAATTCTAAATAGAATACACCCTATAAAGTTGCCAAGAGAATTGTTAATAGAACAGAATTGCCATAAGAAAATATAGAAATATTGATAACTCACGTTTATGGAATTTTTAATTTTCACGAGTTTAGTGAACGCTTAAGATGTTTGTGTGACACTGTAAGCTACAGTGTCGTCTTGTACCACTACCTCGCTCCGAGAACTCCAGCTTCAGGACGTCTTATCCGATAGGGATCAAATGTTCAGCCCTGGCAAAGAATTACTAGATGATGATCTGTGGAACAAGTGACAAGTGCAAGTGACCTTTGCTCAATTTATATTAACCATTCCCTAAATTGGCTTCAAATAAATAAGTTTAGAATCCGTTTCTGATCGGATTCAAAATATCAACACTTATATCCTACTTAGAAGAAAATTGTAGTGTTAATGAAGTGTGTAAGTGACATTTTGTCACTTTTATCCAGTGCACTGCGCTTCCTGAAGCGCAGTGCACTGTTACTGATGAGGAATTGTTGATCCAAGGAACTGGACTTATCTTCCCCTTGGACTGAATTTGAAAGATTCCCATGCCACAGGCACTATGTGACCCATACGGGTTCAGCGCTTTCCCGTAATTAAAAGAAAGTGTGAAAGGCATTAATGTTCAGTGGCTGATTTTCTAGAAAATGAATAAATCGTGCCTTGGCTATAGGCTGTGTAGCTGCAAATTTTCCTGCAGTCCGGACAAAAACTAAAATATTCCAGTCAACTTCAAACGTTAAGTGGTTATGCTTTTTTTTCTCTAAGGAAGCTTTCACTTGATGGTAAGTTATGTAAGTTTTATTGTACTAGTTTTATTAATCAAGTTGGTTTCTGTGAAATAACTTGGAATGATTTTAAAAAAACCTGGCATCTATTTGTCTAGAAATGTGAATGTGTTGGCTTGCTGTTAGTTCAATTTGCCTCATCGGACAATGAATAAAATATTAGTAATAAAGTAAGTTTATATTTTTTTTCTCTAAGAACTTTTACTTATTATAGTAATTATGTACAAGTTATACTTAATCAATTGTCATGTGAATAGTCCTTGAATATTCATCAGAATTCACAGGATTGCAACTTACTATGTCTTAAAGGTAAGCTGTTTTTGGACATGTGTCTGAACATCTGAGCCACACCAGTTTATAGCTATTGCTACAGTCGAGCTAAAAATTTACATATTATATAATAATATTGAATAACTAATTAAATTGGTCATCTATTTCTTAGAGATGAAATATTGGATATTATTTTTTTTAGTTCAATTATGTATTAGGTGAGTGATTGGTACAATATACTTTCAAGGCGTATTTACGATAGTTACAATCAATTAATTAAACTTTCAATGAAGTCCTTGAAAAATTTCAGTTTCTAGTGACCTTCAACTCAGTTCGGGACTCACCAGGACTATTGGTACTGAACTGACAGAGTACAAATAAATGACTTCATTAATTAGCTTTATTTGCGTTCATCAGTAAAAGTTTACAATTTTTGCTTACAGAGATAATCTATTGATGATTGAAAACTTGTAACTATTCTTAGGGAGAAATACCACTGATTTGGTATGTTAGGTCAATTCTGCATTTCTAGAGCAACTTAGGAATTACTATCTTCAGGAATGATTCCCACAAAACTTGGAACTAAAATACAAGTGATACTGTATTGCTAAAGTACAGTACACATTACTTAAGGATCTCTTGAATGTTACTAACAATAAACTCTTGAATTCCACCTAGTATCAAAGCATTTGGACAACTTAGTATTGTCCCTCGGATGACACCCAATCCGGCTACTGGACACTGTAATGTGAGGGTGTACAGGAACCAGTGAAGGAACATACCATGTTTCACGACCACCGGAGATGAAGGACATTTCTGTGTAGACGGAATTACTACCTCGAGCTCGCACACAAAGGTGAATGACGACCAGATTGATAAAAAACATCTACAAGTAGATATACAAGTCTGGTGAGAGACGTAACCACCTCACCCCTGAGTATGACGACAGTCTTGTGAGAGACGACACCCTCTTCCCCCGCTGAATGACGACACTGTCTGTGTGAGAGACGACCATACCTCCCGATGAGTATGACGGACCAGTCTGTAGAGGACGACACCCCCTTTCACCCCCGGAGATAACGACACTCTGTGTGAGAGACGGGACACCCCCTCCACCCACACGATGATGTGAGATGACAGACCAGTTGTGAGAGACGACACCGCCCTCCCGCCGCTGGAGTATGACGTACCAGTCTGTGTGAGAAGACGACACCCCCTCCCCCGCGTGAGTATGACGACCTGTCTTGTGTGAGGACGACACCCCCTCCCCGCCCCTGAGTATGTACGACACAGTCTGTGTGAGAGACGACACCCCCTCCCCCGCTGAGTATGACGACCAGTCTTGTGAGAGACGACACCCCCTCCCCCGCTGACTATGACGACCAGTCTGTGTGAGAGACGACACCCCCTCCCCCGCTGAGTATGACGACCTGTCTGTGTGAGAGACGACACCCCCTCCCGCCTGAGTATGACGACCAGTCTGTGTGAGTAGACGACACCCCCTCCCCCCGCTGAGTATGACGCACCTGTCTGTGTGAGAGACGACACCCCTCCCCCCCGCTGAGTATGACGACCAGTCTGTGTGAGAGACGACACCCCCTCCCCCCGCCTGAGTATGACGACCTGTCTGTGTGAGAGACGACACCCCTCCCCCGCTGAGTTGACGACGTCTGTGTGAGAGACGACACCCCTCCCCCCGCTGAGCTATGACGACCAGTCTGTGTGAGAGACGACACCCCCTCCCCCCGCTGAGTATGACGACCTGTCTGTGGTGAGAGACACACCCCCTCCCCCGCTGAGTATGACGACCTGTCTGTGGAGAGACGACACCCCCTCCCCCCCGCTAAGTATGACTACCAGTCTGTGTAAGAGACGACACCCCCCCCGCTGAGTATTGACGACACTGTCTGTGGAGAGAAAACACCCCCTCCCCGCCGCTGAGTATGACGACCATGTCCGTGTGAGAGACGACACCCCCTCCCCCGCTGAGTATGACGACCTGTCTGTGGGAGAGACGACACCCCCCTCCCCCCGCTGAGTATGACGACCTGTCCTGTGTGGAGGACGACACCCCTCCCCGCTGAGTAATGACGACCGTCTGTGGGAGAGAACGACACTCCCCTCGCTGAGTATGACGACCTGTCTGTGGGAGAGACGACACCCCCCCCGCTGAGTATGACGACCTGTCTGTGTAGAGACGACACCCTCTCCCCCCGCGAGTATGACGACCTGTCTGTGGGAGAGAAACGACATCCCCCGCTGAGTATAACGACCTGTCCGTGGAGAGACGACCCCCGCTGATGTATGACGCCTGTCTGTGGGAGAGACGACACCCCTCCCCCCGCTGAGTATGACGACCTGTCTGTGGGAGAGACGACACACCTCCCGCTGAGTAGACAACAGTCTGTGAGAGAGACGACACCACTCCCCCCGCTAAGTATGACTACCAGTCTGTGGTGAGAGACGACACCCCCTTCCCCCCGCGAGTATGACGACCGTCTGTGTGAGAGACGACACCCTCCCCGCTGAGTATGACGACCTGTCTGTGGGAGAGACGACACCCCTCCCCGCTGAGTATGACGACCTGTCTGTGGGAGAGACAACACCCCCTCCCCGCTGAGTATGACGACCTGTCGGTGGGAGAGAAAACACCCCTCCCCCCGCTGAGTATGACGACCAGTCCTGTGTGAGAGACGAACCCCCTCCCCGCTGAGTATGACGACCTGTCTGTGTGAGAGACGACACCCCCTCCCCCCGCTGAGTATGACGACCTGTCTGTGGGAGAGACAACACCCCCTCCCCCCGTGAGATGACGACCTGCCTGTGGGAGAGACACACACCCTCCCCGCTGAGTATGACGACCGTCGTGGGAGAGACGACACTCCCCTCGCTGAGTATGACGACCTGTCTGTGGAGAGACGACACCCCCTCCCCCCGCTGAGTATGACGACCTGTTGTGGGAGAGACGAACCCCCCGCTGAGTATAACGACCTGTCTGTGGGAGAGACGACCCCCCGCTGAGTATGACGGCCTGTCTGTGAGAGATACGACACCCCCTCCCGCTGAGTATGACGACCTGTCTGTGGGAGAGACGACACACCTCCGCTGAGTATGACAACCTGTCTGTGAGAGAGACGACACCCACTTCCCGCTGAGTATGACGACCTGTCTGTGGGAGAGACGACACACCTCCGCTGAGTATGACTCCAGTCTGGTGAGAGACGACACCCCCTCCCCCGCGTGAGTATGACGACCAGTCTGTGTGAGAGACGACCACCCCTCCCCGCTGAGTATGACGAACCTGTCTGTGGGAGAGAAAACACCCCTCCCCCCGCTGAGTATGACGACCAGTATGTGTGAGAGACGACACCCCCTCCCCCCGCTGAGTATGACGACCAGTCTGTGTGAGAGACGACACCCCCACCCCCCGCTGAGTATGACGACCAGTCTGTGGGAGAGAAAACACCCCCTCCCCCCGCTGAGTATGACGACCAGTCTGTGGGAGAGACGACACACCCCCTGCTGAGTATGACGACCAGTCTGTGGGAGAGACGACACACCCCCTGCTGAGTATGACGACCAGTCTGTGGGAGAGACGACACACCCCCTGCTGAGTATGACGACCAGTCTTTGAGGAGCAAGAAAAGTGTACCACGTAATGGAAACAAGTCACTTCGTCAGACTTCTCTGGGTTATCCTGGATAATCTACACATGTGCTGCTATGTATAAT